TTTCTTCAAAACCACTATTTTTCGGCCAATGTTTCGGCCGGCCGATTTGGGAAATGCCCATGGGCCTTGACGCAGGCGCGCACGAGCGATCATGCCCAGTTGCCCTCGACCCTGCAAAACATGTACATACTGTATTCGGCGATTTCTTGGTAAAATCTCAGAATTCGGCCAAAAGATCGGCGATTTTCTGAAAAGGCTACTTTTTCGGCCGACCGATTTGGGAAAGGCCTACTTCTGCAAGTTCTGGGATAGGTGGGGGTCGCTTTGACAGGTTACACTGAACATGTTGTGAACATCCCTTGAATGGCTGATTTCACTCTACTTCTCCATCTTCTGCTTCACTTTGAAAAAACAAACAGGTTTATCATTATACAGTAGGTATCGGTTATAGCGTGGGTGTTTGAAAAACGACTTTCTATTCTTATTTCCGATCTTTCTTACACACGATAAATCAAGTGTGGCATATCACATGCATGTGCGCAGGGGCAGGGCCGAGGGGCAGGGGCAAGGGCAGGGGCAGGGGCAGGGCAGGAAGATCATCGTGCATCAGGTAGTAGTAGTAGTATTTACTTCTTGAAGTATTATTATTAATTTTTGTTAGGGAAATCCCTACAGACGTTGCCGTCTTTGTACATGTACATGGAACGCAGTACTTCTGTGTTCTGTGTGGCTGGTCATAGTCCCATAGGCTTACCATGTGGCTGGTCATAGTCCCATAGGCTTACCATGTGGCTGGTCATAGTCCCATAGGCTTACCATGTGGCTGGTCATAGTCCCATAGGCTTACCATGTGGCTGGTCATAGTCCCATAGGCTTACCATGTGGCTGGTCATAGTCCCATAGGCTTACCATGTGGCTGGTCATAGTCCCATAGGCTTACCGTGTGGCTGGTCATAGTCCCATAGGCTTACCATGTGGCTGGTCATAGTCCCATAGGCTTACCATGTGGCTGGTCATAGTCCCATAGGCTTACCATGTGCCTGGTCATAGTCCCATAGGCTTACCATGTGGCTGGTCATAGTCCCATAGGCTTACCATGTGGCTGGTCATAGTCCCATAGGCTTACCATGTGCCTGGTCATAGTCCCATAGGCTTACCATGTGGCTGGTCATAGTCCCATAGGCTTACCATGTGGCTGGTCATAGTCCCATAGGCTTACCATGTGGCTGGTCATAGTCCCATAGGCTTACCATGTGGCTGGTCATATTCCCATAGGCTTACCATGTGGCTGGTCATAGTCCCATAGGCTTACCATGTGGCTGGTCATAGTCCCATAGGCTTACCATGTGGCTGGTCATAGTCCCATAGGCTTACCATGTGGCTGGTCATAGTCCCATAGGCTTATCATGTGGCTGGTCATAGTCCCATAGGCTTACCATGTGGCTGGTCATAGTCCCATAGGCTTACCATGTGGCTGGTCATAGTCCCATAGGCTTACCATGTGGCTGGTCATAGTCCCATAGGCTTACCATGTGCCTGGTCATAGTCCCATAGGCTTACCATGTGGCTGGTCATAGTCCCATAGGCTTACCATTTGGCTGGTCATAGTCCCATAGGCTTACCATGTGGCTGGTCATAGTCCCATAGGCTTACCATGTGGCTGGTCATAGTCCCATAGGCTTACCATGTGCCTCGTCATAGTCCCATAGGCTTACCATGTGGCTGGTCATAGTCCCATAGGCTTACCATGTGGCTGGTCATAGTCCCATAGGCTTACCATGTGGCTGGTCATAGTCCCATAGGCTTACCATGTGGCTGGTCATAGTCCCATAGGCTTACCATGTGGCTGGTCATAGTCCCATAGGCTTACCATGTGGCTGGTCATAGTCCCATAGGCTTACCATGTGGCTGGTCATAGTCCCATAGGCTTACCATGTGGCTGGTCATAGTCCCATAGGCTTACCATGTGGCTGGTCATAGTCCCATAGGCTTACCATGTGGCTGGTCATAGTCCCATAGGCTTACCATGTGGCTGGTCATAGTCCCATAGGCTTACCATGTGGCTGGTCATAGTCCCATAGGCTTACCATGTGGCTGGTCATAGTCCCATAGGCTTACCATGTGGCTGGTCATAGTCCCATAGGCTTACCATGTGGCTGGTCATAGTCCCATAGGCTTACCATGTGGCTGGTCATAGTCCCATAGGCTTACCATGTGCCTGGTCATAGTCCCATAGGCTTACCATGTGGCTGGTCATAGTCCCATAGGCTTACCATGTGGCTGGTCATAGTCCCATAGGCTTACCATGTGGCTGGTCATAGTCCCATAGGCTTACCATGTGGCTGGTCATAGTCCCATAGGCTTACCATGTGCCTGGTCATAGTCCCATAGGCTTACCATGTGGCCTGGTCATAGTCCCATAGGCTTACCATGTGGCTGGTCATAGTCCCATAGGCTTACCATGTGGCTGGTCATAGTCCCATAGGCTTACCATGTGGCTGGTCATAGTCCCATAGGCTTACCATGTGGCTGGTCATAGTCCCATAGGCTTACCATGTGGCTGGTCATAGTCCCATAGGCTTACCATGTGGCTGGTCATAGTCCCATAGGCTTACCATGTGGCTGGTCATAGTCCCATAGGCTTACCATGTGGCTGGTCATAGTCCCATAGGCTTACCATGTGGCTGGTCATAGTCCCATAGGCTTACCATGTGGCTGGTCATAGTCCCATAGGCTTACCATGTGGCTGGTCATAGTCCCATAGGCTTACCATGTGGCTGGTCATAGTCCCATAGGCTTACCATGTGGCTGGTCATAGTCCCATAGGCTTACCATGTGGCTGGTCATAGTCCCATAGGCTTACCATGTGGCTGGTCATAGTCCCATAGGCTTACCATGTGGCTGGTCATAGTCCCATAGGCTTACCATGTGGCTGGTCATAGTCCCATAGGCTTACCATGTGGCTGGTCATAGTCCCATAGGCTTACCATGTGGCTGGTCATAGTCCCATAGGCTTACCATGTGGCTGGTCATAGTCCCATAGGCTTACCATGTGGCTGGTCATAGTCCCATAGGCTTACCATGTGGCTGGTCATAGTCCCATAGGCTTACCATGTGGCTGGTCATAGTCCCATAGGCTTACCATGTGGCTGGTCATAGTCCCATAGGCTTACCATGTGGCTGGTCATAGTCCCATAGGCTTACCATGTGGCTGGTCATAGTCCCATAGGCTTACCATGTGGCTGGTCATAGTCCCATAGGCTTACCATGTGGCTGGTCATAGTCCCATAGGCTTACCATGTGGCTGGTCATAGTCCCATAGGCTTACCATGTGGCTGGTCATAGTCCCATAGGCTTACCATGTGGCTGGTCATAGTCCCATAGGCTTACCATGTGGCTGGTCATAGTCCCATAGGCTTACCATGTGGCTGGTCATAGTCCCATAGGCTTACCATGTGGCTGGTCATAGTCCCATAGGCTTACCATGTGGCTGGTCATAGTCCCATAGGCTTACCATGTGGCTGGTCATAGTCCCATAGGCTTACCATGTGGCTGGTCATAGTCCCATAGGCTTACCATGTGGCTGGTCATAGTCCCATAGGCTTACCATGTGGCTGGTCATAGTCCCATAGGCTTACCATGTGGCTGGTCATAGTCCCATAGGCTTACCATGTGGCTGGTCATAGTCCCATAGGCTTACCATGTGGCTGGTCATAGTCCCATAGGCTTACCATGTGGCTGGTCATAGTCCCATAGGCTTACCATGTGGCTGGTCATAGTCCCATAGGCTTACCATGTGGCTGGTCATAGTCCCATAGGCTTACCATGTGGCTGGTCATAGTCCCATAGGCTTACCATGTGGCTGGTCATAGTCCCATAGGCTTACCATGTGCCTGGTCATAGTCCCATAGGCTTACCAGCTTACCATGTGGCTGGTCATAGTCCCATAGGCTTACCATGTGGCTGGTCATAGTCCCATAGGCTTACCATGTGGCTGGTCATAGTCCCATAGGCTTACCATGTGCCTGGTCATAGTCCCATAGGCTTACCATGTGACTGGTCATAGTCCCATAGGCTTACCATGTGGCTGGTCATAGTCCCATAGGCTTACCATGTGGCTGGTCATAGTCCCATAGGCTTACCATGTGGCTGGTCATAGTCCCATAGGCTTACCATGTGCCTGGTCATAGTCCCATAGGCTTACCATGTGGCTGGTCATAGTCCCATAGGCTTACCATGTGGCTGGTCATAGTCCCATAGGCTTACCATGTGGCTATGCAAAATGAGTTACATGACCACAACAGTTGAATCTGCAGCACTACGACGCATCAGATACTACAGGCGATACACTTTGTACTAATCTGGCATGTTTCGCTACACAAAAGTCCATTCTTAGGACCGATATACAAAATGTATTCTACTATGGGATAAAATTGCTTGTGAGAATAAATGTGCACTTGAAATCCATGTTATGATTATGAAAACATGAGAGTTCATTCTTGTAGGCAGTATATTCTTTTCACGACCACGCTATAACCGATACGCACTGTACTAGTACTGGATCTGACTAGCCACTCTAGACTAGTCTTCTAGACTACAGTGCTGGCCACTGAAATCCGACCCCCTGAGCGGTGCGCTCACATCGCAAAGACCCAACACGGCATAGTAAAACTACGAAACAGAGACCGCTAGAATGTGAACCCACCGCTTAGGGGTCGGATTTCAGTTGCCAGCACTGTGTAGATGCAGCCACATGGATGACTCTGAGTAGCTTTTGGAGATGATGGATTTTCCGACTCGGATTTTCATAATTTTCTGTGATCTCCATCGACTCCAGGCTGCCGACGACAACTCAAACTCGGCTTTGTTCTCCTTCGCGTCTCTCTACTCCAAGTAATAATACATGCAGCACTTTTACATTTACTACTTGGAGCCATCAATTCTGGAAGCACGGTATGTACATGTACATGTACATGTGTATCTGTTGTAAGTTGTAACTTATTGACTGGTGCCTTAGATATGCATGTACACATAGAACAAACACACCACGATTATACATGTACATGTACATATGCGACCGCAATTCTTTATCGGAATAATAATAATTATCACTGTGTCAAAACTACAATCTCTATGAGTAGATTTGCTAGATGCTGGTAGTTATAAAGATGTGCATGGCAACAGGAGAATGACAGCAGCCTTGTTCACGTTGTACTGGAGTTGCGCCATGCTGCAATTCTAACAGGCATATTACCATGGTTACTACTACTTACAGTGAGATTAGGGGAGGACATCATTCGAGACATTACGTAATTATTACGGTAGATCAGTAGGATAATGTAATGCAATGACTGCATGATGTAATGCAATGACTGCAATCATTGAAGCTGTAATGTCGATTATGAAATCATGTCATGCATTACCATCTTTTATCTCAATTTGTAGCAAGAACTGCAATTAGCGAGACAGGAAAGCATTGGTTAACCGCTTATGGCCATTTGAAACTCAATATTAATCCTATTGTTACTGCGAGGAGGGAAATGGAGCTGGGAAGAGGGAATCGTAAATAATATTCCATTGCAAATGTCAAAGTGAGAGTTGTTTCTTCCATGACAGTATTGTGTCGTGCTGTTTATAATCTCTTTCCATCGTTGGACGAGTTAACTGTTATACAGCGATTATATATAGAGGGTTAGATAGTGTGTGTGTGTGTATGTGAGTTGTTGTTTGGTGTGTGTGTGTGTGTGTGTGTGTGTGTGTGTGTGTGTTTGGTGTATGCGTGTATGTGTGGGTAGTATGTCAGCTAGTTGAAATTGTTGCAACAGCATCTAGCCTGGTGGGACGTGTTCCATGGACAAGTGTCGATGCTGCAAGCGGATGGTACTATTCTCGACAGAATGATGTCTAGCTTGAAGGTTGTCGATCTCTGTAATACCAAGTAAGACAACACCCCTGCACGCTGATGTGTGGTGTGGCGTATGGTGTTATCGACAGCCACACTTTCTAGCCTTGAGTTGGTGCAGCTCTTCCATCTTGATAGTGTGTTGGTTACCATCCTCATTCAGCGTGTAGCCAATAGTAGCCGACGCATACTGTATTGGCACACAATGCACAGGCGAGACCTTATCCATCTCCGCCGTGCCCGCTAACTTCACACGGTACCAGTGGCGTATGACCACGTTGTTCGTCACCACCGGAGGGTTTTCCCCGTCGTACTTGAACTGGGTTAGAGGTAGGCAGCTGCCGCCGCACATTCCCACATCCAGGTACTTTGGGAATATGACGAAGATCCAGTTCATGCGCATTATGCTGATGTTGCAGGATTTCAGCCGGCACGGGTCCAGGGTGTAGCTACTGCGTTTCGCTCTATGTCCTTGGTCTTGCTCAGCGGACTGCTGTTCCTGGTCGTTGCCATTGCTCAGTTGCTGCTCACTTGCTTGCACTACGGTGTCCACCTCGGTGTGGCTCAGGTGTGTTAGGTTGCCATGGGGAGTTGCTAGCGGCGACATCTGCCTGGTAGTCAGGATAACCACCGCTGTGCTACAGTCAAACTGTGCCATGCCCTCGCCGCTCAGGTAGAGATCGGCCTTGGCGATATCGCACGGGTGAATATCACCAACGCTCTCAGACACGTCAACGTACTTCCAACCTCCGGAGAAGTCGGACACGTCGCTGCTCCGAGTGACGCTGCGACGGAGACGATCGCCCCCGGCGACGGTTGCCAGGCATTTGCGCTGCATTCGGTTGCTAAGGGTAACCACAACGGTGCCGGTGGCCTCGTCGCTGCAAGGCGCCTGTCTGCATTTGAGGTGGATGCGCGCGTGGCGTAAGATGTCCTGGGGTTTCCCCTCCAGCTCATGCCAAGAGAAGTTCAGCCTGCACTCGCCTTGACGTGTTGATGCTCCTACACACACGGGGGACAAGGCAGAGTGAAGAACAATCACAAAGAGGTAGAGATGGTTATACTAGGGGAATCAGAACAGAACAACAAGGACAATCAAGGCTTTTTTGCTGCTACTTCAAGTTTCATGGTAACGCAATCATCAGGCAACAACTAGTGGAATCATACGTGAGGACAACAATAGGTGAATGCACTGAATGAATAGTGATTTTGCACATGTATACACATGTATACACTGTACTTGGTTGTACGAGTTGTTTTGTAGTTTACATTACAGTATCGTGTGCCAATGAAGAAAAAAATAACAATCCACTTGATTTACTAATGCACCCCTTCTAGCACACGTGCACATACATACACATACACATATACACACACACACACACACACACACACACACACACACACACATACACCTGTTCCTGTTCCTGTTCAGCACTGCCACAAGGGCCACGTGGCTCTCCTTAAGAGAGAACCGGGGAGGAGGGAGGCCGCCGGCACCTGTGTCGGGTGAGGTCGCTCCCGCGACGAAAACGGCGGCCACAGCCGGGGCAGGACCATTCAAATGTCAATCGTGTTGCTGCAGTCGGGCGATGCGTACTACGGTGGCATTTGTGTCGTGATCTGTCAGACGGTCTGGCGAAACAGCGGTCACATGTGGGGCAGTGAGCTGCGCAACAGTCCCTTGCAATAGCTTGGGGATGGTCTTCACGGGGCTGAGGATCATGGGGTGTGCATTTATGCCGCGATAGCCCACCACGGCTGCGTAGCCACCGTTGACATTGGGGACATTGCACTGCACCGCGCTGCTCTGCTATGGGCTTGGCCCTTTCATCCAAGCACTTGTGACGGCGCTTGTCCGAAGGCCTGCTAAATACGCGTCGGCAGACAAGACATTGCACATTACGCACTGGTGACGAAGCTGGTTCCAGCTCACGGTAGATGTTCCTCCACCCTGGTCGTGACTGGGTATCTTCTGGCCAAGAGTCCTGTACGTCACATCGCTGTAGATCCGGACTCAGAGCGTCTCGCCAGCGCTTTCGTGGGCCGCATGCAGGTCGGGTCTCCGGTCGGCAGCCGAACAGAACAACCCGGGGTGTCCGTTCCATATCCATGCGCATAACGTGGCCAAACCATTCCAAACGGCGTTGCACAATCCGGTCCTTGATGGGCAGGGGTCTGGCATCATTCCACTGCTCCAGGATGGTGGTGTTGCTGATGTGGAAGTCCCAGACGTCAGAGCGTGACACACCCATGATGGTGCGGAGGCATCTCATGTAAAAAGATGACAGCTTGGCAATATCGGCTTGGAGTGGTACCCAGCACTCAGACGCATACAGCAGCAAGCTCAGCACACACGCCTCAAACACTGTTCGCTTGGTGGCCAGCGTTAGATTGTTATCCCGAAACACTGGGCGACTCAGAACGCCAAAGGCACGTGATGCAGCAGCTATCCTGGACCCGATATCCCGGGAGCAGCGGCCATCAGCGTGGATATTAGTTCCGAGGTAGCGAAACTCAGAGACCACCTCCACCGCATGGCCATTCAACATCAGCGGGCGCACATCCTCTTCAGTAACATGATGACCGGTGACCATGAGCTTGGTTTTCTCTAGGTTAACTTTGAGACCGAATGCACCTGCCACCTCAACAAATGCCGTTAGGCAAGTCTCTATTGCCTCCCGACGCGTGGCCATCAGGGCAGAGTCATCTGCAAATTGGCAGTCAAGGATGGAACGTCTAGTGTCTGTGCGGTGTCGTCGGAAGAACAGACGTTGCCTTGCATTAGTATGAATCGGAACACCAGCTCCGGGGATATCTGCGACGCGGGCATACCACCGTTGGAAGACTGCCCACATGAAGATGTTAAATAATGTGGGAGCCATGGAGCAACCTTGACGGAGGCCATTCCTCACAGCAAATGGATCGAGTCTATCACCATCAACGCAAATTGTAGCCTGCATAGAGGTGTGGAAGGACTGAACAATGGATAGGAGACGGGGAGGAACACCAGCTTTCTCCAGTACGCGCCACAGGCAATCCCGACTGACAGAGTCATAAGCCTTGCGGAGGTCGATGAACAGGAGGAAAGCTTTCCCTCGATGTTCAAATGCCTTCTCCACCATCTGGCGGACCACAAATATCATATCCGTACAGGATCGCCCTCGTCGAAAACCACACTGAGTGTCTGGTAAGAAGGACTCAGCCATAGATTGCAGGCGAGTCTGCACAATGCGGGCAAGTACTTTACCGGCAACATCCAAGAGGGAAATGCCTCGCCAATTATCGCAGCGACTCAGGTCGCCTTTCTTGGGAATGGGTATAAGATTACAGTCGACCCATTCCTGCGGTACTGTGCCATCATTCCAGACGCGATGGAGGAGTTCCAACAGAGACTCACTGAACCTCTGGCCACTGTACTTGATCATCTCCGGTAGGATGCCTGACTCACCGGCCGCCTTTCCATTGCGTAGTTTGCTTATAGCTCGCTGTAGCTCCTCAGCAGTTGGCAGGTCATCGAGCTCTGGGACTGGATCCCTGGCCTCTAGCTGATCAATCTCCTCTGGGTCAAACACGGACGCGACATTAAGTATGTTGGCAAAGTGCCGTCGCCACTGCGTACCCTGCTCTGCTCGAGACTTGCATATGTTGTTGTTCAGATCACGTATAGGCACAGTTGCCTTACTGCGCAAGCCTTGCCGTGCGGCCTGCATATCGTGAATACAAGACCATACGTGGGCTGAGCTGAAACGTGACTGTTCCAACTCCGCTGCCTTGGCCACGAACCAGTCATTTTTCGCCCTTCGCACAGCGGCGCGGGCCTCTCCTCGAGCCCTCCGGAATTCTACCAGTACTGGATTGTTGGACTGGCCAGTCTTGATCCATCGGGAGTACAACTCGTTCCGTCTGGCAAGTAGAGGCTGGATGATTTCCCGGCTGTCCACGTACCAGTCTGGTTGCCTGCGTTTGCTACGGCCGAGGACATCCCCTGCCGCTTCAGTAAGCGTGTCACGGAGAACATGCCAATGCTCCCCAGTAGTGGTGATGGGTGATGATAACTTCCCATTCAATACTGTCTCCGTCTTGGTCTGATATTCCCGGATCAACTCGCAGTCTACGTTTCTTCCCCGAGCCAGTGTATCACGGAACTTGGAGACACATACACATACACACACACACACACACACACACACACACACACACACACACACACACACACACACACACACACACACACACACACATAGTACATGACTGTACAGATGACATAAACCATTGTCTAAAGCAGTAAAGGTATGTGGAAGACTTTCCAGCCAGGACTAAGTACTGACAAGATCTATTCAAGTGCCTTTCTAAGTCCATGAAACATGGTGTGGGTACTCAGGGTGAATCTATCCTGAGATGTCTGAGTGCTTTGTCGGACATTCTTTCAATCTCATTCTTTCAAGGTCAGTTCCACGGGACAACACATGGAACATACTCACTCAGCAGCATAGGGGATGGCCGGACAACAACAGCAACAACAATAGCAACAAGAGCTGATTGGGGAATATCTGACACGATCTCTGATGCACTCAGCAATCACACAACCACTATCACAGGCCCCTTAAATTGTCCTCTGCTGTGGAAAACGCCAGTCAATTCTTCACACTCCCATACAATCTGCTGCAGTCCTGAAGGACATTGGCCATGTCAGGTCTCTGTGACCAGGCGCACCACACAGCAAACAATGTTCTGCGCCGCCACATATTGTCTGCTGTGTGGGTCATGGCTGATTGACATAACATCTGAGCAATGGTCGTGTGTTGCTGATTACAAGTACAAATGCTGCATAGCTGCAATCAGTACAGTATAATGCTACTGATCTATCCAGTGTATCCATACTGGAGATAACACTGACTGACCGTGGCTTAGAGCCAGAAACATTCTAGGTCAGGGACTCTCAGGTCTTGCTTGCCCCATCAGCCTTTCTGGCCCTAACTGCCTGCATTGCTTGCCCTGATTGCCTTGTTTGCCCTGACTGTCTTGCTAGGCCAGTCAGCCTTGCTCGACCGATGCACCACCCTTCATCATTTTTATCCGATCTTGCAACTCTAGACAGCACTTCAAGTAGAAAATCTCTACTCTCCAAATATTTGCAGTTTGAAGTTGCTTCACGTCTGAGTAGAGTCATTCACTGCAGCTTCAAACTGCATCATTTCAAATCACCATCTACTGTCCTCCGCCTCCGCCATGGCAGTGGCAGTGACCTGACACAAGCAGAACTCAGTCCTCGGCTGGTGGTGGTTCTCAACACAATTATATAGCTAGGTGTAATGCAAAAGAAGTGGAAATTTACTTTTCCACACTGTCCTGTGCATGCCTTGCCATATCAAGATCAATGAAGAAACTTCTTGGTCAATCCCAACCACAGCCCACACGTTTTAGCTTACTTCAGTAGTTACTAGTCTAATCAGAGGTGTATGCTGCACAAGCCATTTCCCTAGTATTTCCCCCTAGCTTCAATAGTCACTGTTCGTCCGGCACCACCCGAAGGCATTTCCACTGTGCCACACTGAGTGTGTTTGATGATGACTGAACTGTGAAATCTCTCTGCGGGGACCTGTGCCCTTCACCCTGTGTCTTACCAGGAGCATTGCAGTTCATGCAGCTCCCTGTGGCCATGTAGTGTCAGCCAGCTATGGGTGCATACATCCATGTGTTGAACTGTGTACATACCCTAACAGGAGCATTTTAGTACATACATCTCCTTATGGCCATGTAGTGCCCATCAGCCAAGGGCACAGGCATTCGTGTGTTGAACTATCCCCATACCCTACCAGTAGCAATGAAGTTCACACATCTCCTTATGGCCATGCAGTACCCCGCAGCCACCAGGGTTGCATACATCCGTTTGTTGGCCTGTGCAGTAATACACCAGTGGCTGTGTTGAGCAAGGGTTTGCACTGTGCCATGGAAACTTCCATTGTGCAGCGCGTCGCCTGAAGTTCTACCAATTCTTTAGCCTGTGTGTCAGAAAACAGTGCTGAGTACAGTTTGCTCTGTAGCCGCCACTCCCAGCATGCCCTCTCTGCAGTCTCTGCTCACACTGAGAATCTCAGCCCTGGGCTGTAGGACACCACTAACTGCATGCAGCTGCAACCCGCGCTCAAACCCACGGCCTAAATACACACACACACATCACCACCACGTATACACACTGTGCCTTCCCAAGCTAAACCAGACACACAGCCCACCACCAAGAGTCCACTACAGCGCTGGGAAACACTTGCAGATCTCAGGGGTTTGCCAAGACCCATCGGCACTACTGTTTCACTCAGGGCCATCTCTATAGAGTGGTGAATAACATAAACACTTGACAGGGGCCATGCCAGATCCAATCCTGTCTCAGATATTTGCCATTATACCCGGTATATTGTGTGCACTAAGCCATGATGATTTGATTCGACACAACACACACACACACACACACACACACACACACACACACACACACACACACACACACACACACACACACACACACACACACACACACACACACACACACACACACACTCACATGTGCACACACAGTGACACACACACACACCATGCAGTTCCCCAGCTATATTATTATACGTTAGAATTATTTCCCAAGCTGACAATATCGCCTGCCTTCACACCATCCTCTGCTGTCCATGTCATTGTGGTATGCGGCTGCCACTGACACAATGGCAAGGTACCCATCAACACTCTAGCCTACTCTGGCATATTCAAGCTGTTGGAGTGTCACTGTCCTAGCTTGGCAGGGCCACAGTGAAATACTGCTACAGAGCTTTCGGCGGAGCGCTAAGAGCGCATGGCGGTGACGGGTTTAGGATGTCCACAGTGTGTGTCCAGTATTTCTGTAATCCCCAGGCACGCCCATACTCCAGGCACGCCCATACTATTGGAATATTTTTTAACGTCAAACCCTGACATGCTTATGCTGTGTGTGTGGGATTGTGGTCATGCCCTGTCACACTCTGTTACTTGGCTGGAAATATGTATCCTTGCATTGGATTGGGATCTTCATTAAGCCACAAGGGCGTGTCAGCCCCAGCAATAGCAGTGTTGTTTGTGACTGTCAGCCCCAGCAATAGCAGTGCTGTTTGTGACTGTCAGCCCCAGCAATAGCAGTGTTGTTTGTGACTGTCAGCCCCAGCAATAGCAGTGTTGTTTGTGACTGTCAGCCCCAGCAATAGCAGTGTTTCCAGCAATAGCAGTGTTGTTTGTGACTGTCAGCCCCAGCAATAGCGGTGCTGTTTGTGACTGTCAGCCCGAGCAATAGCAGTGTTGTTTGTGACTGTCAGCCCCAGCAATAGCAGTGTTGTTTGTGACTGTCAGCCCCAGCAATAGCAGTGTTGTTTGTGACTGTCAGCCCCAGCAATAGCAGTGTTGTTTGTGACTGTCAGCCCCAGCAATAGCAGTGCTGTTTGTGACTGTCAGCCCCAGCAATAGCAGTGCTGTTTGTGACTGTCAGCCCCAGCAATAGCAGTGTTGTTTGTGACTGTCAGCCCCAGCAATAGCAGTGTTGTTTGTGACTGTCAGCCCCAGCAATAGCAGTGTTTCCAGCAATAGCAGTGTTGTTTGTGACTGTCAGCCCCAGCAATAGCGGTGCTGTTTGTGACTGTCAGCCCGAGCAATAGCAGTGTTGTTTGTGACTGTTAAAGAATCCCAGAATAATGTTGTGCTCATTATTGGCCTTCAAGAGCTTTTAAAAGGTGACTCAGTCGGGTGTCTTCTCCAATGTATTCCTGTGCGTGTGCGTGTGTGTGTGTGTGTGTGTGTGTGTGTGCATGTGTGTACAAGTTGTGTCGATTGGACAGTTATCTGGCGCAAGTCTTGATCTGTCTCTTTCAGATCTTATTTGCTATCGTTGCTATAAGAGAAAATCTGTGGGTGGACATCCAGTGCATTTGCAGATTTGCGTGCTGCTCTTGCGACGGGCGTAGACATGGTACACGGTGTGTGTATGTGTGTGTGTGTTCTCCTGTACACCATTTCCTTACTAAGCTCATGTTTCCCACTGAGTAGTATGTGTCAATATTAAACCCAGGCCCAGCACTCACTACACAACCATACGCTGGGGGGGGGGGGGGACCTGCACGCAGAGAGGACTGCCACATATCTGCGGTTTACTTTTTGTTTAGATACCTCAGGACCTGTGTTGGGTTAGGCTTACAACAGCGTTCAACCACATGAGACCAAAAGGTGATTGCCTGGGTGATGGCTATCAAGTACACTATGGTAGTGCAGTCTCAGGTTTAGATTCCTCGACTTGGGGGGGGGGGGGGGGGGGGGGGCTAGGCTACGCTGGTGCTCACAAGTCTCTCCTTTCTCACTTCTAGAGCAAGGGGCCCTAGATCCAACCCTGGACTACGATCACAGTCAACGTGTCTTCAAAGCATCAAAGTCTGAGTGCTCCGAATGTGACAAACACAGTGGTGACCGTTGATAACTTCTTAGTAGATCTCTGTGCCAGTTTGTAACCGACACTACAATAGCTACACTGTCGCAGCGGAGTTGGCATGCGCTGCCAGCGACGACCGCTTTGTCGCCACAAACCTAAGCGATTCCCGTTTTCTAGAGCACGTTTCGCGCAACTGAGCTTCTGACTTCCTGTATGTTTGCGCATAGCACACTCATGACTAGCCGGTCATGAGTGTGCTATGTGGAAACATACAGGAAGTCACAATTCAACTCAACAAAAATGTACAAGTACTAGTATTTCAAACACAGCCAGGACGTGACGTGATCCGATTTTAATTTCTCTTACCTTTAGCGGGAAGGAAGGAGAGCACAGATGCAGCGTTGTAATGCAGACTCCGCAGGATCTCGTGCTTTCGCCTCATCTTCTCCGGGTGCGCTGCGATGACACTGTCGTCAAACTCCTGCATCACGCTCATGGCGTGCGCGCGCTGGGTAGGCGAGAAGCGTCTCTTGCGATACCTTCGCGTGCTGCTTCCGTTTGTCATCTGTACAACCTGTCGTCTATGCCGGCCGCTAACATCCGTCGCCAGGGGACCATCTTGTCCGAAGTCCACTCCACGGGACTGGAAGAAACTCTTCAGAGTCGACACGAAATGCAGGGACTTGTGCACGTGGTTGATGAAGTCAGGATCGCGCACTGCACCTCTATCACCCTCAGAACCTTTTCTCTCAGCTTCCGCAAGGGCTACACACACCGCTAATAGCACGCATAGCGCTACCAATGACGAATATCGGCAACTCATCTTCTTCACAAGTTTCCACGGAGCACTGCTGACAGGAAGTTGAGTATTCTAACTGCCACTGATGGGTTTTACCACTGCTGGAGTTCGCAAGAGCCCCGCGTTCAGACAGTGAATAATACTCAAACACACAGCGGATGCACAGCAAGTGATGATCAGGGAGATCGGCGAGGAATTTCTCTTGGAGCAAGCTGCCGGGGTTGGAAGGCTTCTGATGCTCCATCTTGCAACCCGTGGGGTTTTTATCGAGACGAGGCGGTGAAGCATTCGAGACGCGAACAAGCCGCCAGCTACACAATGCGAGTACTTGTCCTCACTACTTTGCTGTGTTGAATACGTCGACGATACCAACACACGGAGTTGCTGTTGCCTGTGTTGATAGTGCTGATGATCTAGTAGAAGCGTATTCCCGGAGACGTGCTAACCTCACACTTCCACTCCAGACACCACAGACTACACACAGTCAGTATCAGCAGCAGCAGCACTGCCACACTTTGCTAGTCGAGCCAGACAGTGTGCGACTCTCCTATGGCCTAACGCGTTCGTTTGACTGGACACCCAGCCTAGCCGGCCATGTATAGCCAGTCACTCAGACTTGATCACAGTCACACCTGCGTGCACATCTCACGGCTCTCGCACTCTCGTACTCACACGCTCACGCACTTGCAGGATTTCCTCCCGAACTTTTACTACAGCCGCTACGTGTCAAAGAGGTCACCATGCCCAGTGGTTCTAGCGACAAAGTTGTTTCATGTTCTCCGTGATGGGCATTTCACTACAATACAGCGTTGAACTCTATTGTTTCTGCAAGAGCCAGCATTGCCCCTGTGGCGAAGTCGTTGGCCATTCTCCGCACATTCCCACTGAGCAAGTCTTGCTTTCGTCATTCCGTACAGCCAGCCTGCAATAGCATTGCCTGAGGCTGAACGACTCGCACTATCTCTCCTTTGATGATGACCCGGGTACCGAGACTGGACTGGCTGCCTACGTAGTACTTTCATCTGTGGCATACAATTAAATCGCTGTCTGCTTCTCTCAGCCTCAGCCTCTGCAGAGTGCAGTGCGTGGATAAAGACGACTGCTGCTGTTCTACTGATCCGAAGTGCCAGCATGCTGAGAGTTCGAGTGTCCTCGACTGGATCTCGGACTACTCGCACACCTACCCTACACTACACTACAGTCATAGTACAGGTGAGCTACAATGCCATGTAGTACAGCCGTGGGCAGTGCAGTAGAGCCTCGTACTTCACCATACTACTTGCTCGCACACGATTGCACTCTTCTGGTGGTGCATGGTATCAATACAAGTCTGGGCCATGGGGTATGGGTCTCTAGCTCTGGCTTTCAGTGCGAACCATGCGTGTTCAATGCGTGGTCTGACTAGAAAGTAGTCTGTCGCTTGCACCCGCCACGCACACTAGAATAGTACTCAGTAATAGTAGCCAGAAACCGTGCAGACTCCAGTCCGTGTAGTATTCAACACATTATTTTCGGTGTGGAAACTCTACGTGGGTTATTTCGGTGGAGAAACCAGGCACCTAAATTTAGATCTACATGTAATTAATACGCCTAATTAAAGTCACTGGGTCATGGAGTATGCACTGTAGACGTCTACGTCACGTGTACATGTACGTGAAGAGAATGCTGGACATGTACAGTGCTGGAAACTGAAATCCGACCTCTGAGCGGTGTGCTCAGATCGCAAAGACCCAGCTCTGGATAGTAAAACTACGAAATACTACATATAGAGACCACTGGAGACCGCTAGAATGTGAAAGCATCGCTAGGGGGTCGGATTTCAGTTGCCAGCACTGTACATGTGCATGTACCATGAGTTAGCCTGTGGCGGAAAATACCAGCAGAAAACAGGCAGGTAACAGGCGGGTATTTTTCTTGTATGTTTTATGCATGTTTGGTATGTGGATAATGAGTAGAATTCAATGAAGTGCCTGCTTTCATTTTCGTAAAGGTTTGCACGCTACTGCTAGTTTCACTGCTTTTACAGCAGGATCTCCCAACCTTTTGATCATTATCCACCAGGCCAGGGCTTAGGGTCCGGCGGATTCTGCCAGCAGAAAAAATTGGCAGAATTCGGTACTTTTTCTGGTAAGTTTCATGCATGTTTGGTATGTGGATAAAAAAATGGAGCAGACTTCGAGGAATTGCCCGCCATAAGGTTTGTATGGTTCTGCCCATTTCACTGCTTTTCGAGCAGAATCTGCCACCTTTTCGAGCAGAATTCGCCGGTCTCTACCAGGGCTATTATGGACTGTGTCTGTGAAGTGTCATGTATTGTATTTGTGGTCACCTACACTGTACACTGTACATTTGGCATTGGCAGATTCTGCTCGAAAAGGTGGCAGATTCTGCTCGAGAAGCAGTGAAATTGGCAGAACCATACAAACCTTATGGCGGGCAATTCCTCGAATTCTGCTCCATTTCTTTATCCACATACCAAATATGCATAAACTTACCAGAAAAAAGTACCGAATTCTGCCAATTTTTCTGCCGGCATTATCCGCTGGTGCCTACTGTACATGCAATTCTACTCACCATGACCATGGGTGCACAAACATACAAACAACTGATTGTTTGTTTAGGGATTCTTGTACAAGTACTTGTGACACTCAGGGAGGTGCCTAACACCCAAACACAACCTAGTGAAAAAAGTTACAGTCATGCCAGGCCACCACCAGTGCACCATGCCCGATCAATACCATTGGCATTGGACATGTAGTAACGCGTTTTTGTGGATGCCACTTCGCTGCCATTTAGTGCTGCTCCAGTAGAGGGCTGATGCTCGCACGCATACATGTACATACTGGTAACGACTTACACGTACATAACTGTGCAGTGAGTCTGCTACATTGGCTCTGTCTCTGACATTGAGCAATCTCTGCAGCTCGGGGATCAACGGATTGGGATTTGACTGTACAGTGCATTAGGGGCGTTAAAAAAACCCCGTGACACACAAGCCACTACATAGTCATTGTACATGTGTTTCGTTACTCATATACCTGTACATGTACATGTATATGTACCTGGCTGCACACTGCAGCTGCATGATGTCATTGTACATGCCTTTCCCCCTTTCTAATGATCCCCAGTTGTTTTTAATTCACGTTCGACCCTCTTTGAAGTATTGCTATTAGTTGTTCATTGCATTCACTGACTGTTGAGGCCGCGAACTAAAATAATTAAAAAACAATAAAACCAAACGTCACTACCGGCACTGGGCTACCTTTGGCGGACAATAATACACTGTCATGTTGTTGTTATTATGCTTGTTCGCGTTGACATCACCACCAAGCAAGCTTGGCTGGCCATCGCATACATGTGGATAATGCCGTCCGAAAAAACTGGCAGGGTTTGGTTTCATTTTCTGGTAGTGGTACGTTTCCTGCATGCTCCGTACAGTGTACAGTGTGTGTGTATGTGTGTGTGGAAATGGAGCAGAATTCAACAAAATGCCTGCCACAAGGTCCTTCACGTTGAGAATTGAAAGTGCCAACAGTCAGTCCCCTGCAGTTTGCAGTCATTGTTAGGTCCAACCATGCAATCAGTGTCAGAGTGACTGACTTAGACTGCACAGGAAGGCACAGAGGAGACTTTGAGACTGATACTGTGATAGTGGGCAGAGATAAGAGAGAGAGAGCCAGATAGAGACGAGAGAGATAAGATAGAGGTAGAGAGAGAGACATAGAGAAAGGGGAGAGAGAGATAGATAGCTAGAGAGAGAGAGAGAGAGAGAGAGAGAGAGAGAGAGAGAGAGAGAGAGAGAGAGAGAGAGAGAGAGAGAGAGAGAGAGAGAGAGAGAGAGAGAGAGAGAGAGAGAGAGAGAGAGAGAGAGAGAGAGAGAGAGAGAGATAGAGAGAGAGGCGACTTATACCGTGTGTGTACACGATCACAAGATAGAAAGCATGCTTGGTGCGCCTTGCCCGACATCAAAAACCGACAGGGGAAAATGTACACGCGCTCACGCATACACATACATGTACACATACGCATAGTATGGTACGCTTTCCAACGGCCAAAGAGAGTTGGAAAGCTTGTGTCTTTGTGGGTAACTTGAACATTTGGGGCTCATGTAAAATCGCACTGATTTTGGGATTTCCCTGCAACTTTTTGCCATTGCCGAGCCACCGTCCTCACAGCAGAGACTTCTGTGTGTGTTATTGTCGTGAAAGTGGACCACAAAGACTACCACTTCAAAGTACAAATTGTTCATAGGAAGACGGAAAGAGAAAACTCTTCTTCAAAAGTGGTTAGGGCAATGCTGCACGCTACTGGTGCTAACAGTCCACCTCCATTCATCATTTAGCGACTTTACAGTATTTCTATTCATACTTTTCACATGTAGCAAGAATTGGTGTCACGAAACGACTGTTGTCACGACGTACATGTAGGAAGGTTGAGAATATACAATGTACATGTTCATGTTCATGTACACCGAAGTATACCTATCCACCACCATCATAGTAGAGGTGCGCAATTGACGAAACCTCACCAGGCTGTCTTTACTCCTCTTAAAACAACACCACGAATGAACACTGGCCAATCCTTCCTGATCAACGGCATCCGAGCATCTCGAGCAATCATGGCAGACCATGAACTACACAAGACCTGTTGTCAGATAGTGTGCGAGGATCTTCCTAGTCCTAGTAATCTACACCTGAGGCTGATGGCACATCCACTATTAGTACTACTGTATATTCACGCTACCCCCCCCCCCCCTTACTACCCCCCCCCTTACTACCCCCCCTTACTACCCCCCTCCCTTACTAGCCCCGCTCTTCGTTGAGATCCGTCTTCAAAATGTCCCGTGACTGCGGCCAACGACACGTTAATGATACATGTACATGCTGAAAGAAGTCTTTGCCCTGGCCTGGCTGGAGTGCTATGGATGAGAGTAGGAGTGACGAACATGTACATGGATGGCTGTTGTGGCTGACGAACCTAACGATGTTTCCTGAAGGTCCAAAAGTACTATAGCGAGAAAAAGTCGATTATTTTAAATTTGGGGCGTGTGTGTGTGTGTGTGTGTGTGTGTGTGTGTGTGTGTGAGGCTCAAAGTATGGAGTTCTTGTTCGTATGTTCCACGCATGTATTTGTTCAACGTTTCCTGGCTCGTCATGTACATGTACATGTAACGACGGGTACCGAGAATTCGCCTTTCTCTCATTCTCGTAACACCGTTACAATGACCCAGGAACTGTCTTCGGTATCCGTAAAGGGCACGTATTTATCGTATCTGCCTTCGAGGCCTGCCTACGCTCCTAATGCATACATCCGCATTGGGAAACACTTGGGAGATCTCCACGCATACATATACAGCAAAGAAGTAGTGAAGAGCAGATAGATTTCTCTTTCCCTCGCTTTGGCATTGATACCACGTACCGGATCAGTTCATACACTTGGGGAGGAGTACAATTATTATCTCGATTGGTGTGTGCGTGTGTGTGTGTGTGTGCGTGTGTGTGTGTGTGTGTGTGTGTGCGTGTGTGTGTGTGTGTGTGCGTGTGTGCGTGCGTGTGG